AAGAGTGCCTTCAATGTCTGATGTGGCTGACCAGACACATTGTGAGGGGTGATTGTGCTCAGGCACACAGTGTATGGAGAGGGGGAGTTTAAGGCTTCTTTCCCTAGAAGCACTTTTAGTGAAAATCCTCCCTCCCCAGGCAGCAATAAGCATCCTGATGTTGTTGTTGTTGTTTAGTCGTTTAGTCGTGTCCGACTCTTCGTGACCCCATGGACCAGAGCACGCCAGGCACCTCTGTCCTCCACTACCTCCCGCAGTTTGGTCAAACTCATGCTGGTAACCTCGAAAACACTATCCTGATAATGTTTGCCAAAGGGGACACGAGTGGCACTGTGGGTTGAACCACAGAGCCTAGGGCTTGCCGATCAGAAGGTTGGCGGTTCAAATCCCCACGATGGGGTGAGCTCCGGTTGCTCTGTGAGAGACACTGGAGATCTCTAATGGGCAGTTTTCCGCACCTCCCACCAAACTGCAATCCCCAGATCCTTTGTGGGAAAACTAGGACAGTTACATTGGTATAAAACTGATTTCAACATAGCGTAAAACTGTTCAGTGTTTATTCAGTAAAGCACCTTACCCCTAGGGACACGGGTGGCACTGTGGATTAAACCACAGAGCCTAGGACTTGCCGATCAGAAGGTCAGCGGTTCGAATCCCTGCGATGGGGTGAGCTCCTGTTGCTCGGTCCCAGCTCCTGCCAACCTAGCAGTTCAAAAGCACATCAAAGTGCAAGTAGATAAATAGGTACCGCTCCGGCGGGAAGGTAAACGGCGTTTCCGTGCACTGCTCTGGTTCGCCAGAAGCGGCTTAGTCATGCTGGCCACATGACCCGGTAGCTGTACGCCGGCTCCCTCGGCCAATAAAGCAAGATGAGCGCCGCAACCCCAGAGTCGGTCATGACTGGACCTAATGGTCAGGGGTCCCTTTACCTTTAATGGTTGCCAAGGGGAGCATTATTACCTTCACCAAGGGGGCAGGGGGATGAATTCTATCACTATTGTGATCCTTCACATGTGTGCTCTGGCGTACATGACAATCGCCCCCAACCACTCTTTAATTTTAGAAAAAGTCACCATGTAATTAATGTCATGTGCAATTAAAGCCATAAGTGGCAGGTCAATTAGTGGTGAAGCTGCCATAAGGAAAGACCACTTTCAGCCATTCCAAGTTCAATGCATTTTGTAAAAGAAAAGGCCCTCCTGTGGTTCTCACCTAATCCCACACATTCCTTTCCAATCCTCAGCTTCTTTCTCTCTTCTGTTCTTCCCTCCTAGGGTGATGGGCTCCTTGCAAAACTTTGAAGCCTTTTCTGAAGTGTTTCACTGCAAAAAGGGCACCGCCATGCACCCCACTGAGAAATGCAGGATCTGGTAGCCCAAGGACGTGGCCTCTACAGTCAGACCTCCGTTGTCCGAATTTGTTCGGGTTTCGCCAATGACGTGCCTGGTGGTCTATTTTGTCTCTTCCCCTTGCCTGCTCCAGTTCAATCACAGCCACGGTTTATGGTGCAACTATCGCAGCAACGGTGGGTCAAGCAACAGTTGTGAGTGCGGTGACTCAAAGTGGACTAAGCACTAGTGTTTTGACATGCCACCTGTGTTGCTTCAGGAAAGAAAGAAAAAAAAAGACTCTCTCAAGACATTGACTGTTATTAAGATACATCAGGGTTCAAAAGATTAGCTACTTCAGAACAAAAGACAGTTCTATTTTTCAGCAAGGAGTATTACTTTTAATATGTCTTATGCTTTTTGGAAGTTTGGCAAAGTATCATTGAGGCTCCCTCACCCCATGCTGCTACTGTGTTCATCTTTGTCTGAGGATGGGATCAATCCACCAGCTCCTCCTAGCTGCACAATCTCATTTCATTCCCAATTAATGATGCTTTTTTGCACACACACTTGCTCTCAATCAGACAAGTATGCGTATAAGTCACAGAATTATAGGGATGTATACTTGAAACCATCAAGTCCAACCTCCTTACTCAACACAGAATCGGCTGTGCAGGATGCGATTCCAGCATCCCTGACAGATTCCCTGCTTCAGTACCTCCAGTAAAAAATAATCGTAGCATTTTAGGGGGTTGGACTAGATGACCCTCAGGACCCACTCCAACTCTACGATGCTATGATTTTCTGCAGCAGTCAGTTCCACTATTGATAGCCTGTTAAACCTGAGACCATCTGCCTATAAAGCAGATGCTCTACCACTGCACTGCAGCTCATTAACTTCATGGTGCTAGCCAGCCGTGTCCTCTTCCAGGTACTCCATTCCATCCCCCTTATCAATTTCTTTTCCTTTCTTCCTATTTTCCTCTCTCTATGATCCCCAAACCTGCTCAGTCCTCATTGGGCTGGGGTTTTTTTTTTTGCAGCGTGTGTGAGGGAGGGTTGCATCCATTAGGTCCCCCCCCCACATATATATACACACTCTATTTCTGCAAACCATGAGTTTCAAGCATGCCAAGACCTCCTTCTCAGTGGCCCCATTTTGGTTTTTTTGTATACATTTTTATTAATTTTTTAACATATCAGTTCCAACAGGCATACAACATATCTTCACATCTTATACAATATTTTTTGACTTCCGTCAACACCTCTGATGATTTCCCATTCTCAGTGGCCCCATTTTGAGCTGCAATCCTGCTGGCACTCAGCAACGGAGTTTGCCGATAGGGGGGCTGGGATAGCCCAGAGGTGCTTGCACAACAAAAGCCTGCCTGGCAATTCTACATGCCTTTTTTTTCCAGCCAGGAGGGGTGGTGGGGGTTAGGGTGTGCTACCCATGCAAGTCCAACCAAAAGAGCTGGAGGGATTGCACAGCAGCCGGGGGGGTGTGTGTTAGGGAATGTTCATACCCTTTACCCAACAGTAGATCGAATGGCTCGGTACGCTGCCATGAAATTCCCCGCAGCTTGCATTGTGATGACCTCTTGTGAAAGGTAGCAACGTGTCTTGGCTTTCATATGGTGAACTGTCTCTTCAGCCTGTCAGCTTTTGCTGTAAAGTGATGCTAAAATCCATTGGTTCCCTGGCACATCTTTTCTTTTAAATGCTTTCCACTGGCTTATTGGAATAGAGTGGTACCTTGTTTTGAGCCCAGGATCCGTTCCAGAGCCCCAGACGCTCAATGAAATGGACCCTTGACAAAGCACCACTCCGCGCATGCGCACAGAATGGTTTGCGCTTCTGTGCATGCGCAAAGTGCGATTTAGTGATTCTGCACGAGCGGTAAACCCGGAAGTAACCCGTTTCGGTACTTCCAGGTTTGCCGCGGACGTTCGCCGTCATGGACAGGGCGGATGTTCATGGAGGTATTACTGTACAGAAACTCCATGTGGTCCAGAGGGCTGGGTAAGATAGCAGGCCCAGCAGCACAATTGCAGCACTCCATATCTTTCTAAAGCAGGCATAGGCAAACTCCGGCCCTCCAGATGTTTGAGACTACAATTCCCATCATCCCTAACTAACAGGACCAGTGGTCAGAGATGATGGGAATTGTAGTCCCGAACATCTGGAGGGCCGGAGTTTGCCTATGCCTGTTCTAGAGCACCGTCTGCACCAACTTTCTGTAGCACTCTGAGGTTACAGATGAGACAGGGCGGTCTTTCCCAGCCCTACCTAGAGATGCTAGGGATTGAACCTGGCAGAGTAGGTCCTCTACCACTTGCTGCTATAGCCTTGCTGCATGCGGCCACCAACCCAAACAAATGCCCAAGGAATGAATGCTTGAACACCCCATTTTCACAAAGCCAGTTGTAACTATTATAGAACCATAGAATTCTTGAGTTGGAAGGGCCCCTAGTCCAAAGCCCTGTAACATAGGTGGACATCTAACTTAGATTTTAAAACCTCCAATGAAGGCGAGTCATCCACCACCTTCCAAGGCAGCCCATTCCACTGTCAAAGAGCTCTTACCACCAGAAAGTTCTTCCTAATGTTTAGTTGGGATCTCCTTCCTTGTAACTTGAATCCACTGTTTTGTATCCCATCCTCCAGAGCAGCAGAAAACAAGCTTAACTCCATCTTCCACATGGCAACCCTTCAGATACTTGTAGATGGTCATTATACCACATCTCCTCTTCTCCAGGCGAAACATACCCATCTGAAGCATACCCAGCCTTAGTGAGCACAAGGAGGCGTATTTTGCAACACTCACTGTATTCCTCTTCCCCTGTAGCTTGTACCTACAGAGGAAGCTGCCTTATCCTGTGTCAGGCCATTGGGGCCATCAAACTCAGCACTATTCCCACTGATGGCCAGCAGCTCTCCAGGGTTTGGGACATTCCCAGCCCTATCTCAAGATGGTGCGGATTGAACCTAGGACCTTTCTGCACATTAAGCATATCCTCTACCACTGAGCTGTGGGCCCTCTCCCATAGAAACACTCCACACATTCTAATTTGCAATCCACAGAGAAGATTGCAATGTCTCACAAGAATGGCCAACTTCTCCTTCAAACCTCTGGAGGCAAAGGTTGCAGGGGAAACCCCTTGCAAGATCACTGGCCCATTTGTAGTATATGAGCAAGAGATCAAAGCAGGGGTGGGGCAGCTGTGGACCCTCCACATGTTGCTAGACTACAGCATCCATCATCCCTGCCCATCCTCTGGCTGGGGCTGATGGGAATGCGAGTCCAACAACATACAGTAGAGACAACCAAAGACTCCATATCCCAGTGTTATGGAGACTCAGATTATTATTTTTAACAACAAAAGGGCTGCTCTTGTTTCTTTTCTCAATTCGGATGCACAGAAAATGGGGGGCAGCTGTGGGAAGAGAGAGAACCAGGAATGGATTTGCATGTGTGTTCCCTTAGAGAAGCAAGATCTCTCAGGAGCAGTGGTGGGGTGCCATGTCGCACAAGTCCACCAATTGTCCCTGAAAATGACAGTCAAATTGGAAGCTACACATCAAGTGCACATCATGTGTTGTTGAGATCGACACCACAGGACATCGTGCTTCCCTGCACCCGAAAGCAGCTGATTAACACCAGTAGCATGATAACCAATTGGTAACAAGTTTATTCATTCTTCGTCGGGCAGATTAACAAAACAGGACAGAACATCATCACTCTACTATGACAAACAGCTTGGTTTTCATCTGAAATGTGAAAAGGGGAGACGGGGAGGAGAACAAGAGGCTCTTAGCAGTTTGGTCGCTTTCTTCTTCATCTGCTACAGGCCTCGCTGGTGCACTGCAGAACAGAGAAAGGGACTTTGTCCAATTGTTTATTGCAGAAGAAATACTCAGCCCCTCCCCACCCCCCCCATCCCTGCACAATGCCTGGTATATTTAGCATCTTCAAATTTAAAACACCATCTGTTTTTCTGTCTCAGCTTCGCTAAAAATTGCTCTGTGACCTGCATTAAGTCGACACAAGGTTTCACCACCTAATTTTGAAGAGCCTAGTTTCCAATTGCACATTTGCTAGAGTCGTCATCAGATTCAAGAAGCCCTCCTTTTACAGGGGAGTATAGGAAGTTGCCTTAGGGACGCAGGTGGTGCTGTGGGTTAAACCACAGAGCCTAGGACTTGCCGATCAGAAGGTCGGCAGTTCGAATCCCCGTGATGGGGTGAGCTCCCGTTACTCGGTCCCTGCTCTTGCCAACCTAGCAGTTTGAAAGCACCTCAAAGTGCAAGTAGATAAATAGGTACCACTCCGGCGGGAAGGTAAATGGCGTTTCCATGCGCTGCTCTGGTTCACCAGAAGCGGCTTAGTCATGCTGGCCACATGACCCAGAAGCTATACGCTGGCTCCCTTGGCCAATAAAGAGAGATGAGCGCCGCAACCCCAGAGTCAGTCACGACTGGACCTAATGGTCAGAGTTCCCTTTACCTTTACTATAGGAAGTTGCCTTAGGCTTATACCAAGTTGGGACCATGGGCCTACATAGCTCAGGACTGTCTGCAGTAGGGATGGGGTACGAATGTAAGAACCTTGCAGCTGGATCAGGCCAATGGCTCATCCAGTCCAGCATCCAATGGGAAGGGAAGCCTGCCAGGAGAACCCAAGGATAACAGCACTCTCCTCTTCTGTGCTTCATAGCAAGTTGTATTAAGAGCTTTACTGCCTCTGAGAGAGGAGATAGCATGTAGTCATTGTGGCTAGTGGCCTCATTCTCCAATGATTTGTCCCCTTCTTAAAGCTGTCCAAGTTGGCAATTCATCACTACACCTCAGTGGCGTAGCGTGGGTTGTCAGCACCCGGGGCAAGGCAAGTAATTTGCGCCCCCTAACCCTGAGTGAGCCAGGTAGGGGCAGAGAGCTGCGAGTGTGAGCGCGCCCACCCCATATGTTGCGCCCAGTGCGGACGGCCCCCCCTGCACCCCCCACGCTACGCCACTGCTACACCTTGTGGGAGTGAGTTCCATAGTTTAACCAGGCACTGTGTGAAGAAGTATTTTCTTTTGTCTGAACCTTCCAACTTCATTGAATGTCCATAAGTTCTAGTTTATGAGAGGGGGGGGGACTGTTTTGCACTTACTCTACACAATGCATCATTTTATTTATTATTTTTCCCATTAAGGTTTTAGTAAAGCTTTTACATGAAATAATAATAATAATAATAATAATAATAATAATAATAATAATAATAATAATAATAATTTCTACCCCACCCATCTGGCTGGATTTCCCCAGCCACTCTGGGTGGTTTTCAACAGAACCTTAAAAACAGAATAAAACATCACACATTAAAAACTTCCCTTAACAGGGCTGCCTTCAGATGTCTTCTAAAAGTTGGATAGTTATTTCCTTGACATCTGGTGGGAGGGCCATGCAATAAAATAAACTCATCTAAATAAAAACAAAACCAGAGGAAGAAAAAGCAAATGCAGAGCCCTCCCTCAAAGGTAGCTCTTAACTCTTGTCTCACACAGAAAATGGTGGACCCTCCCAGCTGTCACCTGGGAGCTTTCCTTTCTTCTCAGTCTCTCACACTGCGAAGTCTTCCCTGCCTATACCTTGCATCATTTTAAACACCTTTAAAACACTCCTAGGTAGCTCAAGTCAGCAGAGAATAGGACTCTTAGGGTTGTGGGTTCGAGTCAGGGGGTTGGACTAGATGACTCTTCTGGTCCCTTCCAACTCCACAGTACGATGATTTCATGATCACATTGCCTCAGATTTGCCTTTTCCCTAACCTAAGAAGCCTATACTGTTCAACATTTTCCTCACAGGGGATTTACCCCATCCCCTTGATCAGCTTGGTGGCCCTTTTTTGAACATTTCCCAGCTCCACAGCAGGCTTCCTCAAACTCGGCCCTCCAGATGCTTTTGGCCTACAACTCCCATGATCCCTAGCTAGCAGGCCAGTAGTCAGGGATGATGGGAATTGTAGTCTCAAAACATCTGGAGGGCCGAGTTTGAGGAAGCCTGCTCTACAGTATCCTTTCTGAGGTAAGGCAACCAGAACTGTACACAATACCCCAAATGCGTCCGTCCTGTAAATTTGTATGATGAAGTGCCAGTTCAAGACAAACGGATGTACTTCTTTCACACAGCATGTCATTAAACTATGGAACTCCCTGCCACAAGATACATAGGGCTATCTCTTCCCAGTCCAAGGGCCACAATCCTGTGTGGGCAACCTTTCCAGGGCAACAAGCTCATGGTGGGTGGGACCAGATGCATAAGCATAGTTTGAGAAACCTTTCTGCCAGGCATATCCAGTGGTACCTCGGGTTACATATGCTTCAGGTTACAGACTCTGCTAACCCAGAAATAGTACCTCAGGTTAAGAACTTTGCTTCAGGATGAGAACAGAAATTGTGCAGCAGTGGTGTGGCAGCAGTGGGAGGCCCCATTAGCTAAAGTGGTGCTTCGGGTTAAGAACAGTTTCAGGTTAAGAACGGACCTCCAGAATGAATTAAGTTCTTAACCCAAGGTACCACTGTACACTCTCAAGGAGAGTGTGTGGCATGGCTGGTAATGGGTTGGGTCCAAGGGCCAGGGGAAGAAGTGCAGAGGGCCTCATTTGGCTCCACCCCTGGACTACTGGTTTCATATGCTGTCCCCAAAGTCCTTGGAAGAAGGGTAGGAGCCAAGGGTGATCTCTAAGACAGAGAGCTGCTCACCTGAGGTTTTGCTCCCTCTTCTACATTTGCAGAGATGCCAAGGGCAGTGACGATAGACTCCAAGGGAAGGTAGTCACCGGGGGACTCCTGAGCAGAATACAAAAGCAGATTCTCCCCTCCTGGAATGAGAAGGGAAAGAGAGAGAAAACAGGTACTAGCTGTGGAACACTGTGTTTCAGCACCTGCTTTGCATGTAGAAGGTCGCAGGTTCAATGCCTGGCATCTCCAAGTAGGGCTGGGAGAACATCCCGTTTCTGAAGAGCCAGTCAGTGTGGGCCAGGCTTCCTCAACCTCAGCCCTCCAGATGTCTTGAGACTACAGTTCCCATCATTCCTGACCACTGGTCCTGCTAGCAAGGGACCATGGGAGTTGTAGGCCAAAAACATCTGAAGGGCCGAGTTTGAGGAAGCCTGGCTGTAGGCAATGCAAGGCTGGATGGATCATCAGGTCTCCTCTCCCTTTAAATGTCATCTGGAGGCACCAGGCTTCCTCAGCAGGAGAGATAGGAAGCAAAAGGCTCATTGCATTTGAACCACCTCCATCAGGCACCTCCTGCCCCTGAACTATGCCAACTGTTCAATAGAGGAACAACTGTCTAGAAACTGGTGTGTTTTGAGTTTTGTTTTCCTCTTCCCTCCTTGTCCCTTTTCCCTTGTGTGTCGTTTGTTTGTTTGTTTGAGGAAGTGTCTTGTTTTGATTTCGTGTATGCCACCCTGGGAGCCTTTTTGGCTGAAGAGTGGGGTACAAACGCTCTAAATAAATATACAAAAATAAGGCAGATTCCAGTGTTCCTGTGAAATGCTTTCTGCCCTCATCTTGCTCCTGGAAGAGAGCAATGGACATCTTTCAAGAACCATGCTGGGTCTGTCTATGGTAGCATCTTCTATTGCACAGCAGCCAGCCAGTAGCCCTCCCATCAGATGTCAAAGAAATAAACAACTATCTGACTTTTAGAAGACATTTGAAGGCAGCCCTGTTTAGGGAAGTTTTTAATATTTGATGAATTATTTTATTTTAATCTTTTGTGGTAAACTGCCCAGAGTGGCTGGGGAAACCCAGCCATGGGCAGGGTATAAGTAATTAAAAAAAACAACACCTATTTATTTATTTATTATTAAAGAAGCTAAGAATTGTCTAGTGTGGGTGGCAGTAACTTTCCCATAATTTTTTATTGATTTTCATACAATTAAAAAAATTCTATTCCGTTTCAATACAATATTCCCTTCACATTTTGACCTCCCATCCTTACTTCCATGATGTTTCTGTTCAAATCCTTTATCTAATGCCTCACATCTAATACTTATTTCTATAATGTATATCCTACATCACATTCCTTTATCATTCTCATTCCTTTGCTTACATTTCTCATTCCTCCTGCCTACCATTTCGTTTCACTATAATATTTTCTCAACTCTTTCACAAACATTTTGTCTTTTTTGTCTCTTATTTTTGCCATCCATTTTGCCATCTCCATATAGTATAATAGTTTGAGTCCCACTATTTTGTTGGAACTTCTTTCATTTCTGCGCATATGGAATTCCGGCTGTAGCAGCAGCATACATAAACAACTTTTGACCAACTTTTTGGAGGCCCACCCCATTATTCCCCCCAAAAATGCTTCAGGCTTTTTTTTGGGGGGCGACTATTTTAACCATCTTTTTCAATCCATTATGTATCACTTCCCAAAAGCCTGTTGCTTTTTTTACAAGTCCACCACATATGAAAAAACGGCCCTTCAGACTTCTGCATTTCCAACGTTTACTTGATACAGTTTTGTACATTTTGGCCAGTTTATTAGTTGTTAAATACCATCTGTATATCATTTTCCAATAGCTTTCCTTTAACATGTAGCAGGCTAGACTGGTGACTGGGAGCAGCCACCGAGACAACATAACACCGGTCTTGAAAGAGCTACATTGTCTCCCAATATGTTTCCGAGCACAATTCAAAGTGTTGGTGCTGACCATCTCCACCCCCATCATTCAGCCTGGACACTGAGGTCCAGCTCTGAGGGCCTTCTGGAGGTTCCCTCGCTGCAAGAAGCAAAGTTACAGGGAACCAGGCAGAGGGCCTTCTCGGTAGTGGCTCCCGCCCTGTGGAATGCCCTCCCATCAGATATCAAAGGAATAAACAACTATCTGAAATTTAGAAGACGTCTGAAGTTTTTTAATAACCGATGTTTAATGTATTTTTAATCTCCTGTTGGAAGCTGCCCAGAGTGGCTGGGGAAACCCAGCCAGATGGGTGGGGTATAAGTAATAAATTATTATTATTATTAATTATATTTCATATCTACTCTCCACAACTTTTCCCTAGCAGCTCTCCAGAGTTTCACGCAAAATTATTCTCCCAGCCCTACCTTCAGGCATTGGAGATTGAACCTGAAACCTTTTGCATGCAAATCAGATACTCTACCACTGAGCTACACCCCTTCCCCAAAACAAGCTAATGTTATATATTTTCTAAGCCATTTCTGTTGTCTTTGCAATGTGCAAAAAACCAATCCCCATTAACAGAAATTGAGCCAGGGCAGTGGAAGGTTACCCCCTTACCTCGGCCAACTATCAGTGTCCCACCGCTCTGCAGAAGATCTCCAGAAAAGTTGCCTTGAATCCCGGCGGCGTTTGCCTGCAGCGGGGTGGGGAGGAAGAGAAGATAAAAGCCCAGGCCCCAATCCCCATCTGTTAAAGAGGCTTTTTCAGAAGTTACCCAGCATCCTCCAAGTCCCACTGGAGGCCAAGCCTAAGGACATCCCTTCAGATTTCTGGAGGGTCCCTAGCTCAACGGTGAGGCCAAATGGTGGGCCAGAAGTTTCAGCTGGAACATTTTCCAGTGCTTTTGGAGACCATTTAAATGCAATGTTTGAGGGGGCTCACACTGGAAATAGGAGCTGCTTGTTCCCCACCCCGAAATCTTTAAACATACTTTTTGCCAGCACAGCAAATCAGAAAAGTGACAAACACACTTGGACTTGGTGGTTTGGGAATTGCCAATAAGGCTTTGAACAGGGATGCCAAGCCTCAAGCCCAGGAGTCAAATCTGGCTCTCCTGGCCTTTCCATCAGGCCCCTGGAGCTCTCCCAAGCTACACCATTCACCCATCCTGCTTTGTGTCCTTCTTGAGAGCTGTCTGGAGGGGACCACAAATTCACTACAGCTAGTGCAAACAGCACAGGCTAGGCGGACCACGGTCCTTCAATTTCATGTAGGGCATCATCCATTGTAACTAACAACCCCCAGGGATGTCAAAGTGTTCCTCTGTTAGCAACAGTCTTCACCAACTGACCTTTGTGATGACCTGTCGGACAGGCTTCCCCAGAGCTGCAGGGACTATACTTAAGGCATTGTACCTAAAAGGAGGAAGGCAAGTTAGAGTCAAAACATTAGGGACACAGGTGGAACATTATTTTCAAGAGTGGTGGCTTTGCAGGCAGAAGGTCCCAGGTTCAATCCAAAGAATCTCTAGATAGGGCTGGGAATGTCCTCTGCAGTGCTGTAGAGCCACTGCCAGTCAGTGTAGACCAGTGTTTCTCAAGCTTGGGTCTCCAGCTGTTCTTGGACTACAACACCCATCATCCCTAGCTAGCAGGACCAGCGGTCAGGGATGATGGAAGTTGTAGTCTGGCAACAGCTAGAGACCCAAGTTTGAGAAACACTAGCATAGACCAGCAGTTCTCAACCTGTGGGTCCCCAAACGTTGTTGGACTACAACTCCCATCATCCCTGAACTCTGGTCTTGCTAGCTAGGGGTGATGAGTTGAGAAAGGCTAGCATAGACAGTTTTGAGCTAGATGGACCGATGGTCTGACTCTGTCTAAGGTCACTTCCTGTGTTCTTAAGACTACATGCCCCAGCTTTTGGTATGGAGGTTTGTGCGAATGGCACCCTGAAATTCTCTAACTGATTCAGTGGCTAGAGAAATTGAGAGGGGGGGTGGCATTTTTGCCAAATGTCTCCAGCAGGAGGAGATGATATCTAGGTTTCTCAGGGTGGGGCTCACCATTAGAAGTGGCAAGAACAGTTTTATTTTCTGGTGCTGTTGCAAGTGCAGAAACCGTGTTGAGAGCATGGCTATTATTTTGCAACCTCCACAATGCTCTGGACCTAGCATCATTTCAATATTCTTTGAGGAAGAGAGGAGAACTAGCCCCGCTGTACATCGGGAAGGGCTGTGTGGAGAGAGTCTCTTCCTTTAAATTCCTAGGAGTTCATCTCAGTGAAGACCTTAGTTGGAAAAGAAATACAACCCAGGTGGTTAAGAAAGCCCAAAAGAGACTCCATCTCCTCAGAGTATTGCAGAAGAATGATGTCAAGTCAACATTTGATGATCTCCTACAATAGAAAGTGTCCTTTCATACTGCATCATGGTGTGGTACGCTGGTTTGACATCAACTGATAGGAAGAGCCTACAGAGGGTGGTGAATACAGCACAAGATATTATGGGCTGTCCTGTGAATCCGCTGGATGAAATAGCGGAAGAACGTTGCCTCAGAAGAGTGAGGAAAATTCTCAGGGATGATTCATACCCTGGCCGGCACTTTCTTGATCTCCTGCCCTCAGGCAGAAGATATAGAAGCATGATTAGTCGCACCAACAGGGTAAAGAACAGCTTCTATCTGTGGGGTGTTAGGCTGCTGAATGAAAAGATAACAACAGGGCAACTGACTTTCGGGTTTGGTGGGTGTACGTCAGTAAACGAGGGGAATTAAGACTAAGAGAGCTGAGTGGGGAGTGCTAGTGTAATCTCACTGTATACAAGTTGTACAAGTGCCAATAAAGTATTTCAATTTCAATATGTTTATGGGGAGAGAGGAGGTAGCCACCACATAAAAGAAAAAAGAAAAAAGTGCAGAATATTCTTGCGTGGGTGCAGGACTGAGTATGCAGTGTAAGTCTACACAGAGACTAGCCTACTGTGCAAAGGTAAGCTTTGTATTAGTAGCTCCACCCACTTTGGCCTCTGGCCCCTCCCACTACCGCTGCAGGGTCCCTGGAAGGTTGCCCAGAAGGAATTGTGGCCCTCATTCTGAAAAAAGCTGCCTTATGTCATCAAGAAGAAAAGAGCCAGACACCTTTTTAAAACCCCAAAGCTCACATTTCAGAGAAATGGCCTGAGTTATCTGAGGGGGAAGGGGAAGAGCCACAGACCTTTGCCTAGGTTAAACTGTGCAGAATCTCTCACCAAGGTCACAGGTTCGATCCCCGTGTGGGACAGCTGCATATTCCTACATTACAGCGGGTTGGCCTAGATGATCCTCAGGGTCCCTTCAAACTCTACAATTCTATGATTCTATGGCACTATGGCCATGATCCAAAGCACACTTAATATATGGTTACCAGACGTCCCCGTTTCCTGGGGACAGTCCCCAGATTTACAAATCTGTCCCCGGACAAAATCCGTCCCCGGAATGTCCCTAGATTTCATTTAATGTCCCCGGATTTATATTTGAAGTGTTGCAGATTTGTAAGTAGGGAATGAATGTTGCGTGATTGGTTCAACGGCACAAGACACAACATATGGGGACTTCCGGTGAGGCCAAATAGCAGGCGTGACGGAAGCGAGCAGCTCCTGAAGTCTGCCAGAGCCAACTGTTCTACTAAGCTGGCTCCAGGCTGCTGAGACTGCAGCTGCCACTGCCACTGCCAAGGGGGAACCGGGGACACTCGGCACATCAACTGGGGGAAACGCTGACCCTCCTGTAACCCAAACTGAGCCAGGAGTGAGAGCGCCTGGCCACCCGGCCGACTGCCCAGTGACGTTCCGGGGCCAGGAAAACCCCCAGAGCTGATGCAGGGAGAAGGAGAAGAAAAAGAGAGAGAGAGGAAAGAGAAAAAAGAGGGGAGCCCCAACTTTGCTGTGCCGCTGCCACTGCTGAGGAGGAGAGATAGGAGAGCACCGGGAGGGCAAGGACACATGGCCAAGCCCAGGCCCAACCTGAGCCTACTCCATGGCAGCTAGCACTCCTAGAGAGCAGGCTGGGGCCCAGAGGAAGGCCGCGCAACAGAGGAGACCACAGAAGAGAAGATATTTAAAAATAATAATTAAGAAGTAATAACTTTTTAAAAATTATTTTATTTTATTTTTTTTTAAAAAGTGTCCCCGGATTCTTTGAAAAAAATCTTCTAACCTTAACTTAATAGGGAGACAAATGCTCAATTCTTATGACCCACCTGATTTTAGTGATTGTAAGATGTTTCAAAGCGTTTTCGATGTTGTGTTTTAATGTCGTAACCAGCCCCGGGACTTTAGGGTGGGTAACTAGTAAGAACAACAATGCTCAATGGGACTTTCCAAGTCCACAAACACACATGCTAAAAATGCAACATACCTTTTGAACCCGAGATCTTGGTAGCACTGTTTGGTTTCATCCAGATAGAGTTCTGAAAGAAAACCAGAAGTTACTCAATGCAAAGACTAACCTTTCCTGCCACCTAAAAGCCTGGAGGAGCATCCGTTGTTACTCCTACTCAGAGTAGACCCATGGGAATGAATGACTAACTGCTGCCAGGCTGCCTCAGTGGGAAAGAGATAATAAACAGGTCCATTCTATCTGCTTTCCTGAAAGTCCAGTTCCATCAGTCATCCCCTATCCCCTGAACTGTTTCTGTACCAGCCGCTCATTACAAGAGCTACTATTTAAGAACTGGTACCTGGGTTTGTTGGGTTTCCTCTTCCCTCCCTGTCCCTTTTTCCTTTTCTGTCATTTTTTTTTCCAGATTCCAAGCCTGTGGGCAAGGGCTGTTTTGTTTTACTGGCAGTACGTAAGCCCCCCTGGCAATCTTTTTCAGCTGAAGAATGAGGCATAAATGCTCTAAATAAAAATAAACAACTTAGGTCTATTAATTTCAAGGGGCCTACTCAGAGTTGAGCTTAAAGGTAAAGGGACCCCTGACCATTAGGTCCAGTTGTGGCCGACTCTGGGGTTGTGGCGCTCATCTCACTTTATTGGCCGAGGGAGCCGGTGTACAGCTTCCGGGTCACGTGACCAGCATGACACAGCTGCTTCTGGCGAACCAGAGCAGCGCACGGAAACGCCATTTACCTTCCTGCCGGAGTGGTACCTATTTATCTACTTGCACTTTGACGTGCTTTCGAACTGCTAGGTTGGCAGGAGCAGGGACTGAGCAACGGGAGCTCACCCCATCACGGGGATTCGAACCACCAACCTTCTGATTGGCAAGTCCTAGGCTCTGTGGTTTAACCCACAGCACCACCCGCGTCCCTCTGAGTTGAGCTTAGCTGGATGCAAACTACTGCATTTGTCGGGCTCAGTTTATACCCTATGCTTCTTTGTCTCCCAAAGACAGGAGAGAGTCACGAAGGCATCCACCTTTCAAGAAATACAAAGCCAACACAATTTCACCCAAGATGGGAAACCTGTGACCTTCCCAGATATTGTTGGACTCCCACTCCCACCATCCCCAGTTCACAGAGGCTGATGGGAGCTGGAGTTCCAACAAGATCTGAAGGGCCCCATTCTTACACATAAGTTAAGACTAAAAACAAACAAAACCGTTCCATACAATTTTAATGTGGAGTGGCGGTTTCCGACAACCTTGCACAGGTCTAGCAAGGCAGATTCTGCTCACATGCCAAGCACAGAGGATGATTGGCTGGACAGTCAAACTTCTGCATTCTTGCTTTGAGCCGAGGTGGGCAGGGGCAGCCAGCAGTTAGCTTGGTGGGTTGTAAGCCAAGCCTTCCCTATACGAGTGGCATGTTAGTAGAGGCATATGTAATCGAGTTGGAAGGGATATCTGCTGCACAGCATCCCTGACTGGCTAGCCAGCCAACCTTTGCTGACAACATCCCCCATTGGCTAGCCATCCAACCTTTGCTTGCGGCATTCCTGATTGGTTGTACTTCCAATGTCTGCTTCAACACATCTCCAAACAAAGGAGAGACAGTGTGCTTGGCTATCAAACAGCAGGTTCTCTTAAGTCAGGCATGGCCAAACTTGGCCCTCCAGCTGTTTTTTCTTTTCTTTTGTTCAATTTTATTTATTTTGTTTAAATAAGTAGTTCAGAAAAAACAACAACCAAAAAAAAGAATAGATTGAAGACACTCCAAAAATATTGAAAGCAAATATTACATACTTATCATATAATATTCCTCCACACCTGCAGCTTCCCTCCGCCACAATTCTACTTCTTTGAATCTCTATTTCCACCTTTATCTTTGCATTCTCCAAATGTATTATTCTTTGTATTTCTTTTATCTCTTCTCTTTTGCAGTTTATAGATATACTTTACATTTTTATTCTAGGCATATTAGCATATCATTCTTAGAACAATATTTTAACATATAATCTTCAAAACATTTCCATTCCTTTTTAAATTTTTGATTTGACTGATATCTTATGATTGATATCAGTCATAAGATATCAGCCCTCCAGCTGTTTTGGGACAACAACTCCCATCATCCCTAGCTAACAGGGACCAGTGGTCAGGGATGATGGGAACTGTAGTCCCAAAACAGCTGGAGGGCCAAGTTTGGCCATGCCTACCTTAAGCACCCCACAAAAGGTCTCTCTCCCCCTTCCTTCATGGGGCTCCTACGATCCAAGACCTACCTCCCGCAAAGTAATTTCCCTCCAGGAACTCCTGCAGGCCTAGGCTTTCTGGCGCAACACCTATTAAGCGGACACCGTTACTCTCCAGCACCTCTCTCAGCTTGCTGGTTTCCTTGGCAATCCAGCGGCACACCTGGCACCCGAGGCGGCGCAAGAACAGCACCACGCAAGGACAGTCTCTCCAAATGCTCCTCAGCTCCACCACCTGGAAAAACCAGACAAGATCATAAAAGTGGCTGCCCACACAAGATTCCTTCTTGTGGAATATGATGAGGCTTGAATGCCCAGCGAGAGAGCTCTTGGATAATAAAGTGGGCATAACAGGGGCTTGATCCTTATTTTTTGCAGAGCCAGATTTCTCAGACATCTGAGAAATGCAGGAGGATGTCTTCCACCAAGTCCATCTAACACAGAATTGTTTGTTCTGGCTCCCTCCAGAAGTTTTTGGACTACAAATCCCATCATCCTGGCTCTCTAGTATTTTCTGAACTACAACTCCCATCATCCTGGCCATTGGCCATTCAAGCCGAGGATGATGAGAGTTGGAGCCCAGTAACATCTGAAGAACATCATGATTGGCCTACGTTGACTAGCTGTGGCACTTCAGAGCTTCAGTCTATCCCAGCCCTACCTGGAGCTGCCCGGCACTGAACCATACATGCAAAGCAGATATTCTTTCCCTTGAACCCTTGGCCTGAAGGTGCATAGGAAGCTGCCTTGTGCAGGGACGGACTTTGCCTCTCTTGCTCCATGTTGTCTACTCACTGACAAGACAGCAGATCAGCATGGACAGGAGTCTTTCCCTGGAGATTCCAGGGACTGAACCTGGTACCTTCTGCATCCAAAGCATGTACTGAGCTGTTGAGCCTCAGCCTCACAATTAAGGAGGAAAAAACCAAAGGCTTCATGTGGGAGGTTCCGCTTAAACCAAGGTTTATATGCAGAACCTTTGGCTCTCCAAATATTGTTGGACTGCAACTCCCATCAGCCCCAGCAAGCATGGCCAATGGTCAGGGATGATGGTAAATGTAGGCCGACATTTGGAAGGGAAAGGGTTCCCCACTTTGACATCACCTGTGACATAGGTAGTGTTACAGCATGGAAACAAGGACTTTGACAGGTGGGCAGGACAAACCACCTGGGGTCCATCATCACCTGGGGTCCTCACAACATCAGGTGGGTGACGTGTGGGTTCTCCCTGCCGCCTGCCAACGTTGGCCCACAGTGGTCAGGACAGAGAAGAATCAGGCTTGCAGAGCCAAAGAGATTCCCCAGTCCTGCTCTGCAGTATCTTCGTTTTGAAAGGGAGCCCAAGCTTTAGACTGAAAGAGTGGGAAGGTAATTGCTGGGATGCGGTGTTGACGAACTGTGAAATCCTGACAACGGCAGCTCAAGCAACAGCCTGGCAGATGGTCAAAGCACGACTCACAAGACTAGACCTACAAAACTCTGACGTAACAGGCAGGAGTGTCCCCAGATGGATTTCACATGCAATGTTTTATTTAGTGGTGACCAAGGAAGGCCAGGCTGAGGAATGCACAGGTCTTGGCACATGCAGGGCTTTACCCAGGCGCCAATCAGCTGATAGATGGTGCCTGCACGTCCCTTTCAGTCGATCCCCATCATCAGCTCTGCAGCTGGCATGTCAGGTATAAAGGTAAAGGGACCCCTGACCATTAGGTCCAGTCATGACTGACTCTGGGGTTGTGGCGCTCATCTCATTTTATTGGCCAAGGGAGCTGGCGTACAGCTTCCGGGTCATGTGGCCAGCATGACTAAGCCACTTCTGGTGAACCAGAGCAGTGCACGGAAACACCGTTCATCTTCCCGCCGGAGTGGTACCTATTTATCTACTTGCACTTTGACGTGCTTTCGAACTGCTAGGTTGGCAGCAGCAGGGACCGAGCAACGGGAGCTCACCCCGTCGCGGGGATTCGAACCGCCGACCTTCTGATCGGCAAGTCCTAGGCTCTGTGGTTTAACCCACAGTGCCACCCACATCCCAGGTATGTTAGGTATAGGGCAGGCATAATGGCTTGGCAAAAACAACAACCAGCCAGGTGGACCAACTCAAGAGGCCTGGTGGGTCTAATTAAGCCAACAAGCCAGATGTTCTGCACCACTGGTTTATTGCATGATTGTGCCCTACAGATCTTGTTTTTCCAAATAGTATGTACCAAACAAGGTAAATACCATGTGTTCTATGTAAGTAGAAACTAAGGCATATGCTTTCTCTCTATTGAGAAAGGGCATCTTTGCAAATCATGATTTAAGAAATCCGACCTTGGTAGTATCACACCAACTGGGACTGTATTTGGCCTCTGTGCACCCAAGCAGGGTGTGAAATGTATAGCCCTCTTCCAATATCCATCTCAAGACCTGTGGCTCAAGAGGACCAGGCATCATTAAGACAAGTGTTGAAAATAAAACTGCCAGGATCATAGATAGCTCTCTAGGAAGACCAGGGATAGCTCAGTCAGTAGAGCATGAGACTCTGGATCTCAGGGTTGTGGGTTCGAGTCCCGCCTTGGGTGAAAGATTCCTGCATTGAAGGGGTTGGATTAGATGTCCCTTGGGGGTCTATTCCAACTTCCACAATACTATGATTCATAATGCTTTATACAGATCTAGGGTACAACTGCACTTGGAATGCTGCATGCAATATGCTTTAAGAGTCAGAAAAAAGTTTGGAAAGGACAGTAAAAGAAGGTAACTCATTTGAGACATTCCTCAAATGCATCCTTGGACAAATAAGAAATACTCCTAAGAAATTTGCATTTATAATTGTGGCAGCATCTACATGGCACTTGAGAAAGCAAGTCTCTGTCTCCAAGGGGATACAATCTAGAAACAGACACAATGGGAAACCACAGAAGAGTAAACCAGGGAATAATGGGCATTAATCTCACATATTTTTGATTCATTGATTTAGAGAGGTTTATAATTATTATAATTAAATTATTATAATTATTAATTATTAATTTAATTAATAATTACTTATATTTAAATTAATTATAATTATAATATTTAGACCCCTCTATGTGGTATATATAAAAACTGGACAGAACACAGCCAAAATTAGTAAAGCTATTTAAAAACCACACACAAATATAATAATTAAAATACAGATAAAATCTGTAAAACTTTCACAACAAATATAGGCAGCTAAATCATATGTTTGGTTGTCTTGCTGAAATAATGAAGTTTCCAGGAGGGGTTCCAACTCAGTGTAGCATAATCTTATACCAGCACGATACTGTGAATTAAGTGATAAAGTTATCTCAGTCTCTATTCCTTCTCTATGGCCCCTAGAGCAGGCAAGAGGCTCCAATCCTACACACACTCATCAAGAAGTAAACCTCACTTAACTAGCAGGGCATAATCCTGAATCAAAACAGATATGGTTGCATTATTAACCAAGCTCAATATGTCGTTTTGGAACTATCATTCACAAAGCCCAGAGTTCAGATCTCACCCATAACAAGGCAAGCTTCTCTCAGCCCTACAACCACTCACCAGAAGTTTCTGAAATATGGGAATAAAACTAATTGGCCCTTAGGACTGCTGGTGAGTCAGACCGCACAGAGTGGTTTTCAACCCGCCATAGTGCAGAATAACGAGGATGGCAGGATGCTAGTTTGCTAAAAATAAAATAAAAGATGTCACGTCGTTCCAATACAGCTAGCTAACCAGCAGATACAACGCACAGCCTCCTTTCCTCTTCTGGAGGAAAGATCAGAAAGCAACCAAATTAAGCCACCCCTGCAGAGTGGACCTGTTTCAAACCCTCTCCCCGATCCGCTTCCATCACTGCTCCCCGCCCCCTTAAAGCAAAGAGCATGTCAGTTCTGCGCTGAAGACGCCCAAAGACAACGCACAACAACCTCTTAGAAATGGGAGACGAATAGCTCAGTTGGTTAGCTGGTTAAACCAGAGTTCAGCAGCAAAGCTCATGCCTTTTGCATGCAAAGGTTCTGGGTTCAGCCCCCAGGACCTCTCGTTAAAAAGGATCAAGCAGCAGCAGAAGAGACGACAACAGCGTTTCTCCCAGGACTCTTGAGGGGCGACCAGGCTGGCTGAGCGCAAGGCAAGAGATCGGAATATCTAGGCAGTTACAAAACCACAACGCTTTTCCATGCAGGTATCTGAGAATTTCAAGCGACTTGCCGGATCGCACTGTTTGCTATGCAGCTGCGGAATTACAAATCGCAACACACACGCCCCGCCGTCTTATGTAAAGGGTCTCACCTCCCCACTGACTGCATGCTTCAGCGTGTTGGCTCCCACTTTGGCTAAATCCACCGCCATCTCTTCTCTTCTGAAACTGCACCCTTCTCCCTGGGTCTCGCGCTCCCTTTCCCTTTATGGGCTCTGCGTCAGCTGATGGAAAAGCCACACCCCCTGGCTTCTGCAAGTCTCCCTCCTCCGGGACTCCTTATGCATATGCATAACCTGGGCGGAGCCAGCAAGCAGCTCCAGGCTGGGAGGAGATATCTCCTCCCACGAAGAGAAACAGAGATATCAAGAAGCATCTGGCGGCGGCAGAAAGTGCTGTTAGCTGCATGTTGAGAGCTGAGCAGGGGCAGAAGCGGGTTAGCAGGGCAAAGGACAGGATGTGCTTTTCTGGGGTGCTGGGAACTGCAGTCCACTCCCTTGCAAAATTACAATCCCCATGTTGAAATAGGATTGCATCTGTTTGCATTTTTTTTTTAGTTAAGTCTCCTAAAATATGCTTCCCCTCCCCCCATGGACTTTTGTCTAATATACGTGTTTTTGAGAAACAATGCCCCCTATTATGGTGCATTATTTTCACAAATATATACCTTTTTTACACACCTGTTTGCCTAGCATGCACTTTTTTTCTTTTCTTTTTTTGCATTGCAAAATCTGAAGCAGTGCAAGCTTGTGTATCAGTTCACGAAGTGCAAAAAAGTAAATGTTGGAAGCACGTAGGTATTCATTTCAGTTATGGGATTTTCTCTTAACACTCATTCTTGTAGAGCGGGTAGGTACCCCAAGGGTAATCTAGTCCAATCTCTTGTAACCCTAAAGAGTCCCTGTCAATAGTTAACAGTACTGGTAATTAGCAAATAGTAGTTAGAGTAGACCCACTGAAATTAATGCCCATAACTAACGTATTTCCATTTATTTTAATGAGTTAACTTTGAGTAGGACTTAGTTGAGTTGTATGCAATACTAGTCTTCTTCAGAGTAGGTCCATTGGTATGAACAGCCATGACAAACAGGTTCATTGGTTTCTATGGGTCTATTTGGAGTAAAGCATACTTGGCTACAACCCTATGTCTTCATAGCTTTGACCATCCAAAACTGAATGTCGCATCTGTTGCCCCAGATTTATGCTTTTGAATCTACATGCAGAACCTCAGGTTGGAAGCTTTTCATATAGCCATCTTGCCATGATGAATAGTTGGAAATTTCGGGACGGTCAAAGGAAAGTCCTTCTTCACACAGCACTTGTTCAGCTGTGGAATTCTCTCCCCAAAGGGGCAGTGACAGTCTCCCTCTTGGATAGCTTGAAAAGAAGGTTAGAAAGATTCCTGGAGAAGAACAAGGCTATCAGCAGCTATGAGCCATCATGGAAATGAATGAGCTACCTTCCGCACTGGAGACAGGATGCCTCTGAAAACCAGGTGGGAATAGTTGCTGCTGCACTCAAGTTCTGCATCCAGGCTTCCCATTGAGGCATCTGGTTGTCCACCAAGAGAGAATAGGATGTTGGAGCAGATGGACCTTTGCCCTGATCCAGAGAGGCTCTTATTATGTTTATTTTTGGCATGTCGGGTTGCTATTAAAGATACCGGAGTGAGAAAGGGGAGGAAAAATGGGCAGGGGAAGGAGCTGCTATGCCTAACATTGGCTCCACCTACTGTGACTCTTGACTACAGCTACCATTCACTGATGTGACCTACATCTCACCAGGTGCAACTGGGACCATCTGCCACTGACCCTTGGGAATCCTTTTGGGTTTTTTTGGTGGGGGGAGAGAAGGAAGACCAGAGTGAAAATGCTTCACATGAATCAAATGAAGACTATTGGGCACATTCCTTCTTTCTCTTCCTCACACGCTCATTGAACTGCAAGGGCAAGGAAAAAGGTTGTTTGAATAGCCTAGTATTCTTAGGATCAAATTGCATCCGAGGCTAGCAGAAATATTTATTTATCCTGTGGCTGATCCATGATCATACAAGGGTGGACAGGTAGGGATTGTGGGGTGGGGGGTGAGGAGAGAGATTCCATTTTGTTCACATGAGGAACTAGCTAATTCACACTTCACAAACTGGCATGTAAATCAGAAACCACAAATATCCTTCGAAATTTGCAGTTCTGCGAAAGTTGCAGTTCTTCAGCCAATGTGTACAGAAATGCATTATGCTGGTGGTGGTGGTGAGGATGCACCATAGAATGACACACTTTGGTGCAAACAACATGGAATATAATAAACAAAAGTGCATTATATTATGGGAAATGACTTGCAAAAATGAGTACGTTAATTGAAACTGTGTCTGAAACTGCCAGGAGAAATTTGCATGAGTGAACTTTCACGACAGGAATAGTGCTTTTAAAGAAAAAAGAACACCCCACATATTGTTGTGGAAATGTGGAGACCTGAATCTAAGATCGGGGGAAATGAAAGTTACTGAAATGGAAAGGTTTGCCAATGTCAGCAGTTGTCTGGTGGTCAGAGTTCAAGAGCCAGGTGGTGCTTTTGTCTAGCTTCAAGTTCACCCAACTCTTCAGTGCTCCGGTGGACCGATTCACTTAGAGTCGTTTCCTTTCACCCTCCTGCTGCCAGGTACTTTTTTTAAAAAAAATCATGATCAGAAGGACTGGGCCGTTCCCTCCTCTATTGTGATTGGAGTCCACCTCCTGCTTCCTGTCTGCTATTTCCCGTCTGTAAACAGTTCTGGGAAGACAGGATCCAGAGACGAGTTTGCATAAAAGGAGGAAAGGCAGACCAGCTTGAGTGCCGAGAAATGAAGTGGCTGGGGAGAAGTTATCTGGAGCTGAGTGCGATTATTTAACCGCCTCTGGGGAAAAGAAAGAAACCACAGCCGGAGAGAGATTTTTATTTTTTTATTTTACTTTCACTTTTGGAGCTAGCGATCGTCGAGCTGTGACTGCTTCGTTTGACGGGACTCAGATATTCAGGGACAGGCCTGGCAAGTTTGGTCTCGTTTGGCTGAAGGCCCAGAGGGCAAAGGCAGTGGGAGCAGTGGGAACTTCAGAATGCAATGTGCTCGGTGCTGGGAATATGGAGTCCAGAAATCCTGGATCTATAGGAACCGAAGGGAGGTAAACACAAGGTTGCAGTTAACTACAGGGTAATGACCTTCGTCTGCCTCGTTACTGGATGAAATTGGAACCCTCCTTCTTTCAGCACCATGCATCTGGTAAGCAAACTTTGAAACTTTGTGCACCCCCCCCCTGGGTCAGCCTATCGTGCTATAAGGGTGCAATCAAGAGATCTGCCTCCTTCCTCCTGAAAAAAATGAGGGCTTCAAGGAGAGTGGGTGTTGGGCCAGAGGATATTGCCAGCTCACTTGTTCTCAGCTGACCAGTGTGTGGCTCAGTCTCCACTAGGAATGGTAGCAGGGAGAATACACCTGGCAGATGGCAAACATTGCCTTTTAGAAATTAAAGCTTTTGTTGGCTTACCTGGTTGGGAGCCATTGTGATGGGTCGGACTGGGAATTCAGGTCCCACTGGTTTGTTTCTAAGACTTCAGTATTCCAGTAACTGAAAGTGAAAGGTGGTTTTTCCTATGAGCAGTAACTGCTAGCTGGTGCTTATTCCACTAAGTCAAAAGGTACACTTGGCTTAGGATTTTAAACAATGGAATTGTTGGAAACTGTTGGTAATGCGCAAATTTATTTGGGGATCATAAGATTATTGGGTCAAAAAGAGGGATGGGGAAATTTGTCCATTTCAGTTTCTCATCTTTGTGCTTATAAGTTCTGTTCTCCACATTTTCACATTGGTTTGTGATTTCACGAGCATTTGAGTGCACATTTCTCCTGACAGAACACATCTCCATAGGCAATTTTGCCCAATGTGCACCTTTTTTTGCAAAACCATTCCCTCTCATATAATGCATATTTGTATGCTATATTCTGCATGGGTTGCATTTTAACAGATGCATTTTTGCACACATTACTTGCCTGGAGAACTGCATGGAGAAGTGCGAATTTTGAAGGGCAACTGTGATTCAGTTTGCGAATCGTTTCAGAAAGTGAATTTTAGGTAGGTTTCCCTCTCAATGCAAGCAAAATCTGATTTCTCCCCCATCCTTAGTAACAGCAATGATCCTGAACAACTAGGGCAGGCAAATCCCCGGACTTCAAATCCCATCACCCCTGATAACTAGCAGTGCTGGGTAGGGCTTATGGGAGATGGTGTCCAATAACAACTCAAGGGCCACAAATCTCCCATGAAGGCTGTGCATATTTAAGTAAGGCCCACTCTGTGGCACTTCCTCCCAGGTAGATGGTTGCAGGATCTGAGCCTAACAGCCTTTGTTTACTGCCCTAGGAAACCTTTTCTTTAAGGTTGCGCAAAGACAGGAATTATTGTTTGGCTTTCCTAGATCATGGCAAGATCTGTGTGTATCCCAAACCTTGCATGTTCCACTTCTATCCTGAGTCCTCCAGCCTCCTGGCCCATCTGATCGAAGCCTGGGCTACCTTTGAAGTCACCTTTCATTTCAAAACTGGCGTTTGCCAATGGCATGGTAACTGATGCTATTTTTTAAGAAACCCACAAGTGCACCTAATTATATGACAGGCTTCTTGGGTTTTTGACTTCTACTTTTAGCACAACCACAACACCATCATTACTCAGGCACTGAGTACGATCTAGACATCCTCTCTCAGCGACCTTCTTTTTTTGTGGTGGAAATAAATGTGGGACGATGGAGGGTGTGTGTCGGCTGCAAACGGTTTGCATGGGTGCAGAAGTGTCACGGGCACCTATTGGCTAGCGCCTGTGATGTCTGGTGTGATGAGTGACAAATCTTCGCCTTTCTGGTGAGTCACTCTCTGTACTCAGAAAGCCGCATGATTACTATTTTTAAAAAGAAAACCTCAAAAGGTGAACACTCATCTGTCAGGCCAGTCTGTATGTTACAGGAGTGCTCATCAAGCTACCTGTCGCAGGGTACCCTGAACTTCTTTTGAGAGGCTGAGGATGACATAGTTGGGTGGGTGTGTTATCCCACTTTATCTCCTCAATAACCATTTGAGGTAAGTTCAATGGCAATATGGTGGCTACCTGAACTGTACCCAGTGAGCTACCTGTCTTTATGGGGAACACTGAAAGGTGTCCGCCTTGAGGAATGTTCACTAAGTCATTCTGTTCATTGCAAGGGCATCAAACATAAAGAGAGAAGGACGTTAATGTATGGTTACCAGATTTTTTTCAGTGAATCTGGGGACACTTTTTTCTTTTTTCTTTTTGAAGCTGAGTAGCAATAGGGAGTCAGTAGTGTTGGATGGTGAGGCAAAAGACCCTGGGCATATTGTATAAAGGTGCAAAGTCCTTCTTTCGTCCCCTGTGACACATAAATGCGTAGAGGTTTTTTAAAAAAACTGGGCAACAGTGTGCCACCTGCCTGTGACTCCTGAGCCTTCCCCGATCTCCTTCCCCCTTTGTTTTGACAGATCAGGGGAGGCTCAGGAGTCACGGGCGGGTGGCCGTTGCCTGGAGGGGCCACCCTGGTAGTACAGTTGGCTCTGACTGGCTTCAGGAGCTGCTCGCTGCTTGCTCCCAGGGCGCAGGAAAAATGGTGGGCGCCATGGCAGTGAGCAGCTCCTGAAGCCAGCCAGAGCCGACTGTGCTACCAGGCTGGCTCCGGGCTGCTGAGGCTGCCGTTTCCCGGGGACAGATTTGCAAATCTGGGACATTCCGGGGATGGAATTTGTCCAGGGACAGATTTGCAAATCTGGGGACTGTCTCCAGGAACCGGGGATGTCTGGCAACCCTATGTTAATGGCAACGAATGCCTCCCAAACCTCCAGGAATTTCTCAGAATCTCCACCTTGGCTGATGCATGAGAGCAAATGGGGAACTGCCCCGCCAACTGTCAGCCTCCCATCCTGAAACACCATGATAGAAAGTCTTCCTTGAGAGCAAACGGGAGATCTGTTTTCAGACTGATTGTGGCACAGGCTCAGCCGCAAGCACAATGCCCAGAAGTCAGGATTCCAAGGTGCAAGCTGTGAAAATGTCCGGACAGTTGGCATGCCCATCCCACCAAGCTTTTAAAGTCGAGGCTGAATCTCTATTGGTAGAGCATTCCACAGGACTGAGCCAATGACATGAAAGGCTTGGTTTCTTGCTGTGGGCAGGTGAACATCACCAACTCAGGGTGCAGCCAATGATGGTCCTGCCGATTATCTCAGTGATCGAGCTCGGATATCAGGCTACCCCGGACCGAAGTCAATCAGGGCTTTGTAAATTAACACAAGGACTATGAACCTGGCTTTGTTGTAGATGGGCAGCCAGAGAATCTACCAGTGTGGTGTAGTGGTTAAGAGTGGTAGACTCGTAATCTGGTGAACCAGGTTCGCGTCTCCGCTCCTCCACATGCAGCTGCTGGGTGACCTTGGACTAGTCACACTTCTTTGAAGTCTCTCAGCCCCTCACAGAGTGTTTGTTGTGGGGGAGGAAGGGAAAGGAGAATGTTAGCTGCTTTGAGACTCCTTAGGGTAGTGATAAAGTGCAATATCAAATCCAAACTCTTCTTCTTCTACTATCCAACCCATAAATTCCCTGCTCATAACCCCACTTCCCTCTACTCTTAAGTAAAAGACCCCACACACTGTCAAGTTTCCCAGTTTTGACAGCAGAAGTAAAACAGAAGAAAAACTGATAGGAAGAAGTGGCCCTGAACATAACAATAAGTTCTCTTAACTACAAAGGTTATTTCCTGTCTGGCAAGGCATTGTTCACTTCTGCAACCCATTGTGTAGCACGATTAATGTCTCAGAGAATGTTACACACGGAGGGGAAGAAATGTTCCTGAGTCACGTTGGGTCACAATGTGGGTTTGTGGTGTCTCACTTCCGCAGGGTCTGTTAGCAAGACTTCTTGGATGACAGCGTCCCTTACAGCCAGTTCTATTTTTCTAGAAAAAGAGGTGCCAGAAGTAGCCACAAACACCTCCCTTGTTCTCTTACAATGGCAATGCCACCTACCTGAGAGGTGCTGGAACTGAGTCCCGATGAGTTCCTGCTGAAAGAAAGCCCTGCTTATAGCCCTCCATGGAGCTGTTTCCCATCGTGCCATCTTGTTGGTCAAAATAATAATTGAAATACTGCTCCACCACATCTTCATCAAAAACTATGAAACTGGATTCCGTTTGGAATTCATTTATTTGCTGGCACACATTGGTCAAATATGAACCGAGGTCTCTAGCTGAGGGGTGGGGGACACCAGGTCCAGGCCTCTGTATTAGGCCTTGGGGGCTGTGCCCAGGCCACACGGCTCACTGGTCTAGCTTCATTACTTGGATGGAGTATATCTTCGGACTCTGATAATGCTTCTTGCTTATCTGGATGGGAGATGAAATGTGGCCCTCAAGCCAAAAAAGCTTTCCCTCTTCTACTCCAGATGGTGCACAATACAAATCAAATGCAAATACCAAACTACATAAAATAATATCACCATGTATGTCTCTTTGTGTACACAAACATAAAAAAACACCCACATGCAGGGCTGGATTTAGCTTTGATGAGGCCAAAGCTACTGATGGTAATGGGGCCCTTCATATGTCCAGCTGGCCTTTTTTCAATAACAAATTGTCGCTGTTTTTGTTGTTGAATGGACTTGCTGATCAGAAGGTCAGCGATTCGAATCCCCGCGGCGGGGTGACCTCCCGTTGCTCGGTCCCTGCTCCTGCCAACCTAGCAGTTCGAAAGCACGTCAAAGTGCAAGTAGATAAATAGGTACTGCTCTGGTGGGAAGGTAAACAGCGTTTCCGTGCGCTACTCTGGTTCACCAGAAATGGCTTAGTCATGCTGGCCACATGACCTGGAAGCTAGCTCCCTCAGCCAGTAAAGTGAGATGAGCGCCGCAACCCCAGAGTCGGCCACGACTGGACCTAATGGTCAGGGGTCCATTTACCTTTATATGCTATATGGTAATTTATGGACCCAATAGGTATCTGTATATAGAAATGAGCAAACCAGTGATATTTTAGGGAGCAGGCTAGCTGGTGGGGCCCATTACTTACGTCATAGGAGCCTATACAACACAAACACTGTTGCTGTATGTAGGTTTTATTTTATTTGTTTTTTATCTTATATTTTGGAAATGTACATCCAGGGTTTTTTTTCCTTTGAATTTTTTGGAGGCCCCGAAGAGAGTGGGGCCCTAAGCTATAGCTTGTTTAGCT